CCTCCATGTATTTGGTGTGAGTAACAAGCTGGCTGTCAATTGTTGGCTGTTGCTGCCTATTTGTGTGTGTGTGTGTGTGTGTGTGTAAACGGCCCTTGATTGCTAAATTATTGATATTTCACGAGAATTCAATCCCAATTTGCTTAGCTTCTGTTCACAACTACCATCAATTTCTTTTCTGTTTAAAACGATTTGTACTCATTATTCACGTGACGGACAAAAAGCGTGTTGTGATTGACCTTGCTAATAACTCCATTTTTTGTCATTTCTTCTTCTCCGAACAGCGCAACGAATTCAACGGGGTTGTGCGTTTTTTCTTTCAAGGCGATGATGGAAAGTATCAGGCCAAATGTTTGCGTATTTCCAATACGGCCACCGCGTGTCAATTGGTCAATATACTCGTGGAGAAATTTCATCCGGATTTGAAAATGCTTACAGCCGGTCGATACGCTTTGTATGAGTACCAGTCGTCCTCAGGAGGTGAGTTGATCACATGACTGGGTAGATTTGGGCAAGGTACTAGTGGTTTCCGGTGCCGCAATCCGACCCTCTCAAGTAATGAGAATTTTATAGTTTGCATATGATGACCACTGTGTTCGTCCCCCTTTTTTTCGTTTATTACGATTCTGTATGCGTGTGAGGAATGACATTTATTATGCAGTGTGCTGGAAAATTTCGACTTTTTACTGTTAGATTCCATCACTCGATTAGTCCGTTTATGGCTTATCGTTCTGACTTATTTTTACGGCATCTGTCGCTTTTCACTCAGCTACTCCCATTTAAGTTGATTGTAATCTCTCCTGATCACGTGTTTCGTGCAGTACTTTCTATCTAAATTTAACCGATACCAGTCATTGGAGAGACAAAATATTGTGATTTGAAATGATCGTCATTGTTACAATGATGAGTGGTGTGTGCCAATGTTTCCCAGAAGCACACGACCGGTTTCGCGGTCCCTTACCACTCGTCGGGCATGCGTATGTGGTAATCTTTTGTCTGATCATTCTGACAGTTGAACTCCCGATACGAATTAGATAACGCGAATCTCATTTGCAACTTGATGAATTGATTCGAAACGAAGAAGCCTCGAAGAATCCATGGCGATGATTGTATATCAGGTGTTATCGGTTAGATGTGTCTACCCCCGACTGATGAGCCGATTTATGTTGCATAATAATGACCAGAAAAAAGGTTAGCGGATACGCATACCTGACGAGCGGTAACAACCACGAAACCAGTCCCCATTATGGAAACGCTAAAACACGACTGAGGTTAGATGCATCTGGCCCGCAGCAGTCAATACAGAATCATCACAATGACTCTTTGAAGCTTGTTTATCTCAAATCAACTCCCCCAGCCTGTACACGAGATTGGCGTTGCCTAGTTGTTAAAATGATTCAATGATTGCATTGG